CTGGACAAATTTCTGAAAGGATATCACTGGCGATTTCTTCCACTTGGGTTTCTCTGTTCCCTCTCTGTGAAACTCACCTTTGTCCTGTATTGGAATTGACTTTCTCATTTTCTTGCCTACATTTCTTTTCTTTTTGTCTTCTCATTCTACTTTTTCTTCCAGCCCTCTGTCAACATTTGGATTCTCAGATTTTTAATTTCCAAGGGCTCCTTCTGGTTCTTTGAATGTTCCTTTTCAAAAGGCAAACTTAAATTTTGTTCCCTGGCTTCTGTATCTGTGTCTTCTATAAGCTCTCTGAGGATAATATACATAAGGGCTTTTCTAGAACTTTTTTCTGTTCTCTTTGTCTCTTTCCTCCAAGTTATCTTTTCTCTCCCTCTTTTTGGGTTTTAGTCTTTTCATTGGCTAACATTTATGAGGGGAATTCTAGAGCAGACAGGAAGCTCCTCACCATGGGGGGCAGTAATGATGGGGTAACTGGCCACTGTAGGGAAGCCCCCAAACATCAGCCGCATCTACAAGGCTTTTCTCATAGCCTGGTGACCAGAGTTCTTAAAGGTGAGACAAGGAAGGCATCTGGGATCATTGTTCCTTGTGTGACTTTCACTTTAATCGCTGGTTTTCACCTTCACACCTGCCTCCATTGTGCCCGTTTCCCTGAAGCTGAACTTTTCTGTGCAGCATTAAAAAATGCATTTTATTACTGAGTATTCCCACAGCTTTGCAAGGTTGATGCTACTTGTTTTAATCCAATTTTATAGAGGCTGAGGGAGGTGACATGAGCTGTCCTGACATGCCACAGCTAATACATTAAAGGGCCAAGCTGGGACCAGGGCCCGGAGTCACCCTCACTGCAACAAGTGACAACTTCTGGTTCATCTTTGGTTTCTCCCAAGGAAGGTGGTGAGTGTTTGTTGAGTGAATATTCCATAAATATCAACATTCAGTGGTAGACATCAGGAAGACATATGAGTGATGGCCCATGGCAATTAATAGGTGTTCAACAAACACATGTGGAATGACAAAATGAAAGCACAGCAGAGGAAATAAGGCATTGCAGAAAGAACCCTAACTGCTAAACTTATATCCATGTGCAGAAAAGTAATTTTTTTTAAATGAGAAGGCACAGTCCTGACTTGGGAGTGGTAAATGGGGTTCCTTTGTTTACAACGAGAGAGAAGCTGGCAGAGATCTTAGGGAACATAACCTTTCACATGCAAGTTCAAATGCCTCATGGTGTCATGCCCTTCGACCAAGAAATTCCACTCTTGGGCATCTATGGGAGCAACAGAATTGCAACTGTTCAGGAACATTTTGCCGCATTATAATTTATAATTTGAAAACAATCTAAATGTCCAACAAGAGGGGAATGGTTAAGCAAACCAAGGTACAATTTTTGGTGGCACATTATGCAGCTATTAAGAATTACGTCTCTTCATAGTAGCCAAAATAAGTCTGGCTTATGTCATTGAACATAATGTCCCCCAGGTTCATCCATGTGGTAGCAGGTGTCAGAATCTCCTTCTATTTGAAGGCTGAACAATACCCATTATCTGGATGGACTACATTCATTCATGAATTTATCCATTCATCCGTCGATGGACATGGGATGTTTTCAGCTTTAACTATTGTGAAGACTGCCGCTATGAATATGAGTGAACAAGTATCTATTTCCCAACACATTTTATTCCCCTGAACTTGGGCAAACAGGGTGCTACTCCTCCCAACCCCTACCCTGCTGCCTTTTCCACCTTAAGGAGAAACACGGGTCCTCTGGCTTGTCCGCTCAGCAGAGCCTTAATCTACTTACCTGAAACACCTCAGCCTCTGGAAGCCAAATAACAGGGGGCCAGGGAGAAGATGGAGCCAACATTTCTCCAAAGAAGCTGGCCAATCTTTGGAGATGCACCCTCTACCCCTGGGTGTGACTTACTTCGAACCAGGGTTCAGGGCATTTTCGTGGCTATATTTATTTATTTATTTTTAAAACATTTTTATTGGGGGATGGGAACAGCACTGGGGAATTGGGGCAGGGGAACAGACAAGTTGCTGTCCTTTTGTTCTTCAGTCTAGTTGTGGAGGACGTTGCTTCACTGGCCCACGTTGGCACCATCATTGTGCTCTTCCCGGG